GGGGATCAAGGATCTTTCTCCTTCTTTTCCCTGCGTTTCCCAGATTTTCCTCCTGGTCCTTTCCCATGGGAGCCGATGGTGGCAGCGAGGGTGACAAGGATTTGTCACCACCCCAGGCAGAGTTTCTGCCTTGGTTAAGGTTTCCTCTACCAGGTCTGGCAGGAGGGAATAACGGAATTCCAGGGAATAACAGAATTCTGGGAAATAACAGAATTTCAGGGAATGCCAGAATTTCTGGCACGGGTTCCATTTGTCAGCGTCCGACTCGGAAAATCCCAGTTTTCTGGACCCGTCTTGTGTTTGACAAGGAATTCAATAAAAATTAAATAAAAATTCAATAAAAATTAGGATAAAAAGGGAGGATTTTGTGCATCAGAAAAACCCGGGAGAGGAGGGAGGTTGTGCTCTGAGCCCAGAGGGGCTGGGTTGGTTTTTCGACGTCTCCTGGCGGAGTTTTGGGATCGATGCGGCCGTTCCTGGGAATGTCTGAGTGGATTTGGGATAAAAGTAGTCATGGATGGGGAAAAAACATAGTCATTTCTGGGAATGTTTGGGTGAATTTGGAATATGTTCATTTCTGGGAATGTTTGATTGGGTTTGGGATTAATGTGAACATTTTTGGGAATGTTTGATTGGGTTTGGGATTAATGTGAACATTTTTGGGAATGTTTGATTGGGTTTGGGATTGATGCGGCCATTCCTGGGAGTGTTTGAGTGAATTTGGAGCAAAAATGGTCATTTCTGGGAATGTTTGGTTGGATTTGGGATGAACGTGTTCATCCCTCGGAATGTTTGAATGGATTTGGGATAAATGTRGTCATTCCKGGCAATGTYTGAATAGAACAAATGTGGTCGTTCCTGGGTCTGTTTGAATTGTTTGGGAAACAAAAATGTTAATTTCTGGGAAGGTTTGATAGGGTTTGGGATAAATGTGCTCATTTCTGGGAATGTTTGAATGGATTGGGGATAAGCATCAGTTCTGGGAATGTTTGAGTGAATTTGGGTTAAATGTGTCCATTCCTGGGAATGTCTGATAGGGTTTGGGGTTGTTCATTTCTCACAAAAAGTGTTTGATTGGGTTTGGGGTTAATGTGCTCATTCCTGGGAATGTTTGAGTGGATTTGGGATAAATGTGTTCATAGATTGGGGATAAATGCGTTCATTGCCGGGTGTATTGTAACAAATTTGGGATAAATGTGCTCATTGCTGGAAATATTTGAGTGGATTTTGGATAAACGTGGTCACTCCTGGGAATGTTTGATTTGGTTTGGGATAAATGTGGTTTTTTTTTTTTCCTGGGAATGTTTCAATGGCTTGGGGATAAACATCATCGTTGCTGGGAATGTTTGAGTGGATTAAGAACAAACATGTTCATTTCTGGGAATGTTTGATAGGGTTTGGGATAAACATGGTTATTTCTGGAAACATTTGATGGTGTTTGGGATAAATCTGTTCATTCCTGGTTTTGGGTTTGATGTGTTAGTTTCTGGGAGTGTTTGAATGGACTGGGAGCAAACGTGGTCATTCCTGGCAGTGTTGGAATGGATTGGGAACAGACATGGTCATTTCTGGGAATTTTTCATTTGGGTTGGGTTTGATGTCGCCATTCCTCGGAACGTTTTGGTGGATTGGGGATAAAAGTGGCCATTTCTGGGAATGTTTGAGTGGGTTTGGGATTAATGTGGTCATTCCTGGGAAC